GGGGTAGACGTTCTTAAATTTCAGCTGAAGTCCTTGGTTTTATTAGGGTCCTTCTACCTTGGTGGGCCTTGACCTCTAATCTCTATTTCCCAAGTACCAAAAAATGGACACATTTCTGCCCAGCTCTGTATCCTCCCTGCTGATGTTTCCTGGTTGGTTTCTTGACATTTGCTCTGCATAACTTATGGGAGAAAATTGCGTGCAGAAGTTTGTGCTCGCTTCTTTGTGATTCTTTCAAGTTCTAGCCATCTTGGAAACTCTAAATGCTGGCCTGTCTCTGCCCAGCCTCTAAGAGTGCTGGCAGCACTAGGCTGCAGTCTTATTCTTGGCCTTTATACCCTGCACCACAGGCTCCACAGTGCCCTGAGTAATAACCTGGGGCTTACCTCAGTGTGTTCTCTTTTTCTCTAAAATCTTCGCCAGGTATGCCTTCCTGCCTTGGGTTTTCTCCGGCGCCTTCGAATAGTTGTTTGAATTTAATCCTGCCTTTATAGTTGTTTTCAGCCAGAAGGCTAGTCTGGTACGAGCTCCTCTGTCATAGCCAGGGTGGAGGTTCATCCCACAAGTTTGATATGTAACATTTACATTATCATTGAGTCAAGATATTTCCTAAATTTCGCCATGACTTCTTTTTGTTTGTTTTGTTTTGTTCATCTTCACCTGAAAGATATTTTTTCCATTGATTTTTAGAGAGAGTGTAAGAGAAGGAGGGAGGGGGAGAGAGAGAGAGAAACATTGATGTGAGAGAGACACATCAGTTGGTTGCTTCAGGGATAGAACCTGCAACTCAAGTACATGCCCTTGACTGAGAATCAAACTTGTGACCATATGGTGTGCGGGTTGACACTCTAACCACTGAGCAACACCAGCCAGGGCTCACCATGACTTCTTATTTGAACCATAGAGAGTTTATATGTATCTTGCTTAATTTTCAAACATTTTTAGTTATATTTTTGTTATTGATTTCTCACTTAATTGCATTGTGGTTGGAGAACACAGTCTAAATGGTTCCAGGTCTTGGATATTTGTTCAGATTTGCTTTATGGCCCAACATAGGTCCAATATTTATAATTTTTGCATGACTGTGCTTGCAAAGAATGTATTTTCTGTACTTGGTGGGAATAGTTTTTTTTATATGTCTATAGGTCAAGTTTACTAATTGTTCCACATCTAATAGGGCTTTTTTGGTCTGCTGTTTAAATAAGTAGTAGAAAATACTAAACTATCTCAGTGTGACTGTGGATTCATTTAGCTCTCTTAATCTGTCAGGTTTAACTTTATTTTGGAGTTTTATTATTAGGTACATATTAACTATAAATGTCATATTTTCCTAGTGAGTTTAAACAGTTATCGTTATGAACTGTTTCTCTTTGTTTCCGGTAATGCTTTTACCTTAAACTCTATCTTGTCTAATACAAATATAGTTTCACCAGCGTTCTTTTGGTTAGTATTTATATAATACATTTCCTTTTTTTTTTTTTTTTTTTTATCCTCACCTGAGGACATTTTTCCATATTTTGTTCAGGTAGAGTGGGAGGGAGAGAGAGAAACAGAGAGAGAGAGAGAAACATCGATGTGAAAGGAACACATCGAGTGGCTGCCACCCGCACGACCAACCAGGGCCGGGGACAAACTGCAACCGAGGTACGTGCCCTTAGTGGGAACCGAACCCGGGTCTCTCAGGACCGCAGGCCGACGCTCTAATCGCTGAGCCAAACCGGCTAGGGCTTGTTTTTAATCTTATAAAGAATATGTAGTTGTCTTTTGCCCTGGCTGGTTTGCTAAATGGTTAGAGCACTGGCCCATGGACCTTAGAGTCCTGGGTTTGATTCCCAGTCAAGGGCACATACCTAGGTTGGTCATTTGGTCCTGGTTTTTGGCTTGCTGGTAATTTTTTGCAGATTCAATCCTCAGCCTGGGGTCCAGCAGGAGGCAACCAATCAATGTGTCTCTCTCACATCGATGTTTCTCTCTCTCTCTCTTTCTTCCTCCTTCCCACTCTATCTAAAAATCAATGGAAAAATATCCTCAGATGAGGATTAATAATAATAATAATAATAATAGAATATGTAGTTGTCTTTTTTCTATTACTCTGTCTGTTATTCTTTTTTTAATCCTTGTCTGAGGATATTTGTCCATTTATTGTCAGAGTGGGAGGGAGACAGAGAAACATCGATGTGAGAGAGACACATTGATTGGCTGCCTCCCTCAGGACCCTGATCAGGGCCAGGACAGGCTGCAACCGAGATACGTGCCCTTGACCAGAATCAAACCCGCGACTCTTTGGTCTACAGGCCGACGCTCTTATCGCTGAGCCATACCATTCGGGCTGTCTTTTATTCTTTATACTTATTTGGAACATTTGGTCTATTTATACTTAGTGTAATTTGATATTTTTGGGTTTAAATCTACTATCTTACTGTTTCTTTTTTTTTTTTTTGTTCCTCCAATTTAAAATATTTTTCCTCATTCCTTTCTTTTTTGTCTTTTCACTTATTTTTGTTCATTTTAGTTAACTTTATTGAGATGCAATTTACAAAAAAATGAAACTGACCAATTTCAAGTGTACTATTCAGTGAATTTTGATAAAGGTGCACACTCATGTAACCATTACCACAATCAAGATATAGAACATTTCTGATACTCCAAATTTCTTTCATGCTCCTTTATAGCAAATCTGTGGCACCCACCAGCCCCTGGCAAACTCTGATCTTCGTTCTGTCACTATAGTTTCACCTTTTAATCATGTAGCATGTAGTTGTAGGAGTCTAACTTTTCTCTTTTTTCATGTACCACAATGCTTTTGCAACTCATGATTGAGTATTTTCTAATTATTCCATTTTCCCTCTCTGTTAGCTTGGAAATTGTACACTCTGTTATTATGTTTTTAGTGGTAACTGTTGGGGGACAGTTCTCTCCGGGTCTCCCGTGTTTCTGTACATCCTGAGAGCAGAGACGCTGACCACCTTTGTTCCAGGCTTCTCCACAAGGCTGTTTGTATAGTAAACAGCCCTGGAAGACAGAAAGAGTCTCGCTCTAGCGCAGAGGGTAGGTTGGCTTACTCTCCCATATAATAAAGACAACATCTTCCTCCAGAGCAAAGCTTAGACAGATTTGCTTATTGACAGTTATAAAGGATTCAAGTTCCCTGCACTCAGGGTTTCTCTCCCCTAAGGCAACATGAGCAGGTGTCACCTGACCCTCTTCATGTCACCCTGTGGGAACTGGATCCCAGGGAATCGGCACAAATGCTGATACTCTGGCTACTGCTCTTGCTGTGAGTAATAAGTTGCCCTTTGTCTTTGATCCAGGAATCTTGTGTCTCCTGCCAGCATCCATGAAACGGTGTCAGGCTAACTTGTTAGTTTGCAACTAGGGCAAAATCTGAAACCCTTCACAGTTCTTGATAGAACCCTAGAGATTGTAACACACATCCTTGGCCTCGCTGAAGTATAATTGGTACTCTAGAATCTTCCAGAACAGTACACGGGTCTTAGAACCCTTTGCTACATTTATCCCCCTCCAGGCTTCTATGTCATGTGCTGGTTTTTTTGTTTTTTATATTTTGTATTAATACTTTTCTTTTAAACCCAATAAGACATTATACTGTCAGTATCCATTTTTAAAAAAAATTTTTTTTCTTTATTGATTTAAGGGAGAGGGAGAGAGAGATAGAAACATCGATGAGAGAGAACATCGATTGGCCACCTCCTGCATGCCCCCCACTGCGGATTGGGCCCACAACCTGGGCATGTGCCCTGACCGGGAATCGAACCAGCAACCTCTTGGTGCGCGGGTCAAGGCTCAACCACTGAGCCACACTGGCCAGGCTGTCAATATCCATTTAGATTTGCCCACATATTTACCGTTTTCATGGTGCTTCATCCCCCCCCCCCCCCCGCCCTGCATCTTTATCTTTGATCATCCATCTGGTATTAGGTTCCTTCTACTCGATGAAAATACTTTTATTTTCTATATTTTTTTATTTGGGTCTGCTAATGACAGTGTCAGTCTCTCTCTCTCTCTGACTAGTGAACTGTTTTAATTTCAACTTCATATTTGTAGGTTCTTTTTGGTATATTTTTGCTGGGTAGAGAATTTTTTTGGTATTTATTTTCTTTTAGCTCTTGAAGGGTGTCATTCCACTATCTCTGGCTTCTGTTGCTGAGAAGCCAGTCGTCTGTGTAATGGCTGCCCTTTGACGATAACCTTTTCCTCTGCTATTTCAATTATTTTCTCTTTGTATTTTGTTTTCAGCAGTCGTAATAGGTACATGGGTCAGTTATTCCTATGTTACTATATGTTCACCAATATGTCATTTTCTAGTATTGCTATGTAACAAACCACCCCAAAACTTAGTGTTGAAAAGGTATCAGTTATTTAGCTCACAAATCTGTAATTTGAGTGGAGCTCAGTGGGAAAACTCAGTTCTATTCTACACGGTGTTTACTGGGGTGGTTTGACTGCAAGGTCCGCTCACAATAACTCACAGCTGGCGAGTTGGTGCTGGCTGTTGGCTGGGCAGGCGTTCATTCAGGGCCAAGGGCCCAGGGCGGGCGTTCATCCAGGGCCAAGGGCCCAGGGCGGGCGTTCATCCAGGGCCAAGGGTCTAGGGCTGAGGGTCCAGGACCGAGGGTCATCTCCGCCTCCTGCATGCCCCCCACTGGGGATCGGGCCCACAACCTGGGCATGTGCCCTGACCAGGAATCGAACCGGTGACTCTGTGCATGGGTCGATGCTCAACCACTGAGCCACACCGTCCAGGCTAACATAAAATCTAAAAGCACCACATGATGATATAAAGAAGAAAGGGAGAAATAAATCTTTTCAAATAAAAAGCCCCAACACCATTTAGGTGTGGGAGGTTGGGGAGGGGAGTCTGGCGGCGGCAGCAGGTCAGTGTCCTGTTTGTGGGGACCCAAGGCCCCCGATTTCAGCAGGTGTGTGGGCTGAGGGCCTGGCTCATTTCTGTGTCTCCCTCCTGGGTCTCGGCTCCTCAGACTCTTTCAGCTGGAGACGGAGGCCGAGGCCCTGGTGAACTTCCAGCAGTACTCCTCCCTGTTGCCACCCTTCTACGAGAGCTCCACCCACGTCCTGCAGGTGGAGGTCCTGCAGCAGCTGACCGACCTCATCCGCAGCCACCCCAGCTGGTCGGCGGCCCACTTGGCGGTGGAACTGGGCATCCGAGAATGCTTTCATCATAGCCGCATCATCAGGTGGGCGGTGCCTTGCTGGGCGGGGCAGAGCACGGGACCCTTGGGACAATGTATGTGGCAGGATGGGGCCTTCGGGAATCTCTGTCCTGCCTCAGTTCCCCTCCATAAACTCAAAGTTTGCCCAGACTGTGACTTAAAAAGGAGCAGCGTTGCCCCTGGGTTAGAGCACCGGGGCTACACTCAGAAGGAAAAACGCAACATTTCTGGGGTAACTACCAGGTGCCAAGGTCCATCATAGCTGTTTTATACCCACCGTGAACTTGAATTTACTCAACACCGCCATGAAGTATTGTCATCCCAGGGAGAGGTTATGTGATCTGTGCAAGGTCACTCAGCTGGAGGGGCTGAGGAGGCTTCAGATCCGGGGTGGCTCCTTCCAAAGGTCTGGTTGCCTGCCCCTCTGGGAACTGGCACACTTACTCGGGCATCCACTCAGCCAGCATGTGTACCAGTGGGTGCCCTGTGAAGGGACTTGCTGGTCACAGTCCTGTCCCGAGGTGGCCACACGTCCTTTGCTGAGCTCCCAGGCCCAAAGCTCGGGACTCCTGGCTGCCCTTGCCGGTCGGCAGCCGGTTCTTGGACGTCGTGGTGTCTCGTCTCACAGCAGCTGGCCACTTCCTAGGGCAGGGGCGGCAGGGATCGTCTTTATTTTTTGTAGCTAAAGATACTGAAGCCCAGAAAGGTTAAGTGAATTGCCTGGGGTTGGTGAGATTTCTGCCGTCTGTGACCCGTTCTTACTTTAATCTCACCTGAGGATGTTTATTGATTTTAGGGAGTGAGAAACATTGATGTGAGAGAGAAACATCGATTGGTTGCCTCCTATACACACCCCGACCGGTAATCGAACCTGCAGCCTAGGTATGTGCCTTGACTGGGAATCGAACCCACAACCTTTGGTGTACAGGATGATGCTCCAACCTACTGAGCCACCCTTCCAGGGCCTGTGACCTTTTCTATGCCCCCCACCCACCCACTTCAGGCTTGCGTGGCCCTGGGGCACATCTCTTGTACAGTGTGCAGCCGGAACTGAAAATGGATACAAATCACGAGATACAAATAAATTGTGACCCAGCCCGAAGTTTGAACCAGCCAGCTTGAGTGTGGCATGAGTGCTCGTGAGCCCATAGCCCACTTCTCTCTTCCGCACTTGGGTTTCTCAGTGCCCTGCCCCCCTTGTGCCACGTCCGCTCACTCTCTGCCCACCTCCTGCAGCTGTGCCAACAGCACGGAGAGCAAGGAGGGCTGTGCACCCCTGCACCTGGCCTGCCGCAAGGGTGACGCGGAGATCCTGGTGGAGCTGGTGCAGTACTGCCACGCCCAGATGGACGTCACCGACAACAACGGAGAGACCGCCTTCCATTACGCTGTCCAGGGTGACAATTCCCAGGTGCTACAGGTGAGTGGGGTGGGGTGGGGCGACCAGGACCAGGGACAGCTCGCTGGGTCCACCCCTGTCTCTGGGTCCTTAGGCTCAGATGTCACCCTGGGCCTCTCACTGTCCCTCCTTGGTCCTTAAGGCCTAAGCTCCTTTGTGGAAAGTGCACCCCCACCTCGCTCTTCCCTCCCTTGCTCGTCAGGAGACGCATCCTTACTGCTTTGCTCTGACCGTCCTGGGCAAGCCCTCCAACCCAGCAAAGAAACTCAAGGCCGTCCTCCCTGTGGGTTAAGTTCAGCTTTTCCTGAGTACCTCCTGGGAGTGGGACCCCTGAGTGGAGGCATTCATGGTCCCATGGGACCTGAGCTTAACTTTTTTTAAAAAATTGATTTTAGAGAGAGAGGGAGAGAGAGGGGGACAAAGAAGAAGGGGAAAGAGAGAGAGAAAAGAGAAGAGATTTACTGTTCCACTTATTGATGCATTCATTGGTTGATTCTTGTATGTGTTCTGATCGGGGATTGAACCCGCAATCTTGGCGTATGGGAATGATGCTCTAACCAACTGAGCCACCCCATTAGGACCCTGAACTTAACTTTTTACAAGAACTCAAAACAAACAGAACAATTCCATCTGACTCCTTTCGGCATTTATGCCAGAGGCATTCCTGTTAAATACTTGATGAGCTGGGCAGAAAAATACAAATACAAATTTTGAGTCAGTGGATCCAGTGATGTTATTGAAAGGCTACTTTAAATATTAGATAGAAAAGACAGACTACTGGACAATATTTTATTGCCTAAAATTGGAAGATTCTTCTAAAGGTTTTATCCTCGTCCCTGCCTTGGCATCAGAATGGACCTACATTATTCCAGAAAATGTGGATTCACACCTAGTGATCGGCACTCTAGGGGAGGGAATTCCACACCACATCGAACTCCACCCCCACTGAGAACTGAGTGCCCAGCACAGGGCCGCACATCCTGCCCCGGGGCAGAAGGCACGCACACCCTTATCCGTGGTCATGCACCTGTCCTTTGCCATGCGCCTGTCTCCTGCCTGGGCCTGTACGGAGTGTTGTATGTATTCTAGTTAATTCTCAGAATATCCTCTGTGGGTGGGGGTCAGCCTCCTCCTCTCCTTGCTAAAGAAAGTTCAGTGACTTCAAGGAGTTTGCCCAGGGAGGGCCACCGGGCTGTGAGTGGTGGGGCTGGCCCTTGAATCCGGGCCACCCTGCCGTGCTCCCAGGCTGCTGACATGCCCAGCTGGTCACGTGTCGGTGCACAGGCATCATAATTAACCTCAGGGAGACCACATTCAGCCATAAGTGAAGAAATAAAAGCCTCCTTTTTCCATTTTTTTTAAAATCTTCACCAGAGTACATTTTTGCATTTATCTTCAGATGGAGCAGGAGGGAGAGAGGGAGAAAGAGAGAGAGACACATCGACGTGAGAGAGACACATCAACTGGTTGCCACCCACACGACCCCAACCGGGGCCGGGCATGAACCGCAACCCAGGTGCCCTTAGCACAGTGGTTCTCAACATTCCTAATGCCGCGACCCTTTAATACAGTTCCTCGTGTTGTGGTGACCCCCAGCCATAAAATTATTTTCATTGCTACTTCATAACTGTAATTTTGTTACTGTTATGTCTTAGGCGACCCCTGTGAAAGGGTCGTTCAACCCCCAAAGGGGTCGCGATCCACAGGTTAAGAACTGCTGTCTTAGCAGGAACTGAACCCGGGACTCTCTGGTTCATGGGCCGACGCTCTAACTGCTGAGCCAAACCCCCCAGGGCCCCTTTTCCATTTTTTAGTTGAAAAAAAATTCAAGCAGAACAGAAGGATATACAGTGAAGAGGAAGAAACACGACCCTCCCTCCCTGACACCCAGTGCCCAGCCCTAGGTACAACCACATTGTCAGTCTGATCAGAGCGGCTGTGCATGCGTGGTCACTGCCGACCCACACCCCAGCCAACACGGCTCAGCTCCTTTGCCGCCACGGCCTTCCTTCTCTGCTGCTGCTCCTTAAGTTCTGATGAGTGTTCTTGTGAAGTCGGCTTCCCTTCCCCTCAGTGCCCAGGGCCACTGCCAGGGCCCTGCTCTGGGAGGGGCGTGCAGGGCGTCCCACCTGGCCTGGGGCTCCAGCCCACACTGCTTTGCCCCGGCAGCTCCTCGGGAAGAACGCGTCGGCCGGCCTGAACCAAGTGAATAACCAGGGGCTGACCCCGCTGCACCTGGCCTGCCAGATGGGGAAGCAGGAGATGGTCCACGTGCTGCTGCTCTGCAATGCCCGCTGCAACGTCATGGGGCCCAGCGGCTACCCCATCCACACTGCCATGAAGTTCTCCCAGAAGGGGTAAGCCCTCACGCCCCCTCCAGCCCCCTCCCCCACCCCTGCCCCTTGGCATGCTGGGCCTCAGCTCCCTCACACAGGTCCTGATCAGTGACCTCTGCAGGCTCATTAGATGCGCACGAGTCTTGCGCCAGGGGCTGTCTGGGCACATAAATGGGTAGGAGCATGCATCTCAGGCCACGAACTCCACTGTGCAAAGACTAAAACATTAAGTTGTCCTGTAGTGCACCTCAACTTCTGACCGTGGACCTCCCTCAACCAAACTGGAGAAACCATCTTAATCTTCCCCGGGGTCCCCTTTCCAACGTCCCATGTGGTGGTCCAGCTGTAGAATCTCATGTAGCCCCAAGACTCAGAGGGGCCACTGACCTGGGTCCTCTTCCCCCGAAGCCCACCGGCCTGCTCTGAACCCCTAACACTGTGGTGCTCGGGGCTTCTGTGGCCGACTCGAAGCCCAGGAATGGTTGTCAGGGCGGCCCGGGGCCCCACCTGCCTGGATGTGCTTGTCCTTTCTGGTTGGTGGCACTGAGGGGACACAGGTCCCAGGCCCGTTTCAAGGAGCTTTAGAACACTTTCTTATTTCTCCCTCTCCCAGACCTGGGAGACCCTGGTCTCTGGAAATTCTCCACTTTGGGGGGGGGGGGGATTGTTCAAAAGTTGAGTATCTCCAAGTATTACCTAGCAGGTACAGTATCTAGAATGAATGGATGAGTGAGTCCCTCAGCCCCAGGCACTGGCCTTGCAGAGACGGGTAAGAGAACAGCTCCGGACAGAAGTCACCCAAGACCTTCCAGCACCGAGTGCCAGACAGGCAGTGGGAAAGGGCACGGGGGCCACACAGGTTGGGGGCCAGACACTCTCACCCTCCTTCAGATTTTTCCTTCCTCTGGGCACCTGGCTGGCCCCCTGGGGCATTACTGTCCCCTCGAAGGTCTGGTCCAAGCTTAGACAGACCTTTCCTCTCTTCCCTCTAGCACAGCCAAGACGAGCTAGAACTTTACGGAAAACCCGACCAAGGGGCTGGAGACAGCAGCGGCGCTCCCACCCCCAGTCATCAGGTTCCCTAGTTGCAGGTTGCAACCCAAATGGACACAGTGATGTTCATGCTCTCCTGTGCCTGGAGGCTGGCATGATGGCCCTGCTCCTGCTTGGCTAGTCACCCTACAGGGTCTAGTCACCTGCCTGGTCCGTGTGACTTCCAGAACCCTGGTGTTGTCCAGGTTGTTGCCTCCTCAGATACCGTTGGCCGTGTGCCTGCTCTGCCCCACCAAGGCCCCCCTTCGCGGCCTGCTCAGATCTGAGAGGACCATGCCTGGATGACGACACAGGTCTCATGCCTTGGGTGTGTCCCATTGCTCACACAGCTGTGTTCCCCAGTGGGGACACCTCTCTGCCACTGCAGCACAGCTGTGCTCTGAGAATCACACACACCAGTGTGACTGAGAGCGGTTGTCCCAGCTCCAATCTGGAAACCCCCATGTTTGCTGACCTTCCAGGGACTCCAGTTTCCCTGAGTGTGATGTCTTCAAGGCCCAGTAGTGTAGCATGACAGACTGTCCTTCCATTCCAGGGCAGGATAATGCTCCATTGGGTGTACCATATATTTTTTATAAATATGTTTTTATTGATTTTTTTTAGAGAGAGAAAGGAAGGGAGAGAGAGAAACATTGATATGAGAGAGAAACGTGGATCAGCCGCCTCCCGCACACCCCTTACTGGGGATTGAGCCCACAACCCGGGCATGCGCCCTGACAGGGAATTGAACCTGGACCTCTCAGTCCATGGGATGACGCTCAATCCACTGAGCCATACCAGCCGGGCAAGGATGTACTGTATTTTGCTTTTCCATTCATCTGTCAGTGGACACTTGGGTTGCTTCCACCTTTGGCTGCTGTGAATAGTGCCACAGTGAACATACTGTTCACGCCTCTGCTTTCGGTTCCTTTGGTATATGCGTGGGGTGGGGGCAGCTGTCCTCTCAGCCGCCCTGCCTGCCTCTCCTGCAGGATGCAGCCACTGCCTGAAACCAACAGTGGGGGGTCAGGGGGTGGAGGATGGCTGTGTGCCAGGCCCAGAACCTGGTGCTGAACTGTCTGGTCTCCTTTCATTCCTGCCCAGTCCTGTCCAGACTGTCTCCATGTTGCAGAGGTCACTTTCCAGAGGTCACCAGTGAGGAAGCTGGGGCTTGACCTCAAGCCTGTCTGCCTCTAAAGCCAGCACCAGTGAGAGTGATCGCTGATGACTGGAGTTATCAGGGAAGGCTTCCTGGAGGAAGGGGCTTGAGATGTGCCTTGAGGGGCTCATGATATACTAGCTATATCATGGTTGGTTTTGCTGCAACTTTATTTGCAGAAACTCTACCTGATCAGTAGGTGAAGCCCCCGGTCACGACCTCTTCCAGCACCAGGCTACCGCCGGCCTTCCTCACTGTCCCCGGTCTCCTCTCTCCCCAGGTGCGCTGAAATGATCATCAGCACGGACAGCAGCCAGGTGCACAGCAAAGACCCTCGCTATGGAGCCAGCCCCCTCCACTGGGCCAAGAACGCGGAGGTAGGAGGAGTCTGGGGGAGTGGTCCCTGAGCCCTTTGTTCCTCAGCCACCTGAGGAAGGAGGTTCCTGAGGATGGCACTTGGGAGGGTGACCTCGCAGTGGCCCCAGGCAGAGAGGGCCGAGGAGAGACAACATCCTGGCGGTGCCCCAGTGCTCACTGCATGTGATGGGGTCCCCTCTGTGATTTTCCTCTGTGGGAATTGGGAGTCCAGTGTCCTGCCTCTGGAAGTGTGTGGTCAGCAAGGTAGGCGGGAGACAATTCTTTGCAGATTGTCAAGTGCCTCATAAACAGAAGAAGGTGGTGGTCGGTGGTGATGCTGCTGCAGGCTCTGGTGGCATCTCCCGGAGGCCTCTGCCTGAGCCACGCTCGGAGCCCTGGGAGGAGGGAGGGCCCTGGTTTCTCGCCCCCAGGAAGCACAGCTCGGCAGTGCACTGGATGGCCCCAGGGATCATGGCCTGCCCGTAACTGTGATGGGCCAGGAGCGGGGAGATGCCAACCTTTGCAGGGCAGCATCTTCGTGCCAGGAGCTGGCCACCAAGTCAGGCCCTTTTGTGTATGTTCTGTCATTCCTTGTGAGGTAGGGACTTGCATTCCCAGTTTACAGCAGGGAAAGCTGAGGTGCAGAGGGGCGCAGACAGCTGGGGTGCAGTGGGCTTCGCAGCCCAGGCTCCTCCCTACGGCCCCAGGCTCCTCGAGGCTGCTGGGTGGGCAGGGATATAGTTGCCAAGTCCCGAAGAGGGAGCCCACCTTTCCAGGGCCCCAGGGAAGGTGCGGCGTGGGGCCATCTGGGACGGGTCCACGAGAACTTTGCAGGCGAGCACGGGCCTGTGAGCTCCAGGCAGTGACCTGGGAGCCTGTTAGAACAGCAGCACATCCTTAGCTTTTCGTTCCTTCGTTCTTGGGGTGCTGATGGTGTGGGAGCCAAGGTCTACAGCCACCCCCAGGACCGAAGCCTGCCACCTGGGCTCTTCTATTGCTGGAGTTTTCCAGAAACTCATACCTGAAGGCCTCTGAGACAGGAAGCGGCGGTGCCCAGGTGCCGCCCGGCCCCGCTGACTCGGGCCTGGACCGCATCTCCCACAGATGGCCCGCCTGCTGCTGAAACGAGGCTGCGACGTGAACTGCACCAGCTCCGCGGGCAACACGGCTCTGCACGTGGCAGTGCTGCGCGGCCGCTTCGACTGCGTCCTGGTGTTGCTGACCTACGGCGCCAACGCCAATGCCCGCGGGGAGCTGGGCAACACGCCGCTGCACCTGGCCCTGTCGGTGAGCCTGCGGGGCGTGGGAGCGTCTCCTCTGCGCCCGGGACCCTCGCTTCTGTGGTGTGAGAGGGACAGGACAGCTCTGGCTACTGACGGTGGCCTTGGGCAGCTCATGTCCCCTGTGTCAGCCTTGGTGTCCTCACCTGGGAAATGGAGGTGTCAGCACCCACCTGGCAGAGTTGTCCAGAGGAGTAAATGGTAGACACTTGGTAGCTATGAGGACTATCTAAATGACACATGCAGGGCCTGGCACGAGTGAGTGGCCCAGAGGGGAGCATCCTCCTCCCCTGCGTTACTGGGGAACAGCGTCATCTGTGTGTTGTTCTCATCTCCCTGGTAGACTCTAAGCTCCCGGGAGGCAGGGCCTGCTTCCACGTCCGGGCGGCCCGTGGTTGGTGTCGCCATGTTCGCTGGTTTATTGTAGAGCATAGTTCCTGCCCTGAGGGGCCCTGCAGTCTGCTCAGACGGCTGCAGCGTGAACATACTGCGCGCAGGGGAGGGAATGTTCTCGTGGGTGTGCGTGTGTGTGTGTGTGACTGCAGCAACACCACGTGCACAGAAGTCTGTTAATAAGTCTCGGAGTGATAGACTGGGAGAGACCCTGGGACTCTGAAGAAGTCGCTTTAGGACAAATTCAGAAACATCCTGTTTTATCCAAAGGTCATGATTGTAGAGCAGTGTTGCTCAAAAGGCTGAAGTTATAAATAAAACCATGGACATTTTTAGTACTGAATGGGCCCTTAGAATTATCCAGTTCAGCAGTTCTCAAACATCTTGGTCTGTTTCGTCCCTTTATACTCTTAAAAACTATTGAAGACCCCCGAGACTTTTTTTATATGAACTTATTTGTCTATAGTTAAAATATTAGAAATTAAAAGTAAGAAAATTTCAAAATATTCATTTAAAAATAACCACAGTTTACCAAATACTGATATAAATATTTTTATGAAAAACAATTTTTTTAAAAAACAAAAATAATTGAGAAGAGACGGCATTGTTTTACATTTTTGTGAATCTCTTTTATTATTATTGTTAATCCTCATCCAAGGATATTTCTTCATTTATTTTTAGATCGAGTGGAGGGGGGGGAGACATCAATGTGAAAGAGACCCATCGATTGGTTGCCTCCTGCACAGCCTACGCCCCTGAAGCAAACCCTCCACCCTTTGGTCCGAGGGCCAGCGCTCTGATCGCTGAGCCCAACCGTCCAGGGCACATTTTTGTGAATCTTTAATGCCTGGCTTCAGAGAAGACACGAATCTCCTATCTTCTGCCATATATATTCTGTTGCAGTATGTTGTCGGATTTGTTGAGAATATGGAGAAAATCTGGCCTCACAGAGCTATGTCGTTGGAAGAGATAAGTAGTTATACCTTTTCAGACCATTGTGAATACCCCGAGACCTCAGCAAACTCGGCGGGGTAGTTGCTGGCAGGTCGGTCGCAGTCCACGCACTTCTCGCACGTTCCTCTCCACGGCACCACTGGCCCTTTGCGTGGATCTTCCCTGTCTTCCCTGGAAAAGATTGCCTCCCTGCGTAGGCACAGCTTCCAAAAACGTGCACCCATTTCATATGAAACCCCCCATTTGTAAGTAGCACCCAGTCTCATCGGAAAAGTCTACCTTCTAGGAAGCTGCGAAGCCCGTCATGGGATCCACAAGAGTTGTAGTGTTTGTTTGAAAGCTTACATTTCGCATTGGCACAGAATACCGCCTGTCGTTTTTCTTGACGCGACAGGCTCGCTGCTTTCATTTCTGAGAAAACGTCGCTTGGTACCCAAGGCGGAGCAGCCATCATTGCCCGGCAGTCGTTCTTCTCGAGTGGAAGTGGTGTCGCTGAGGACCAGCAGCTGGTTCTGCTCAGCTCCAGCAGCCGGGCATGGGCTTCCCTCGGGACACGTCACGCTTTGTTACACACAAGGCCGTGGATGCCTTCCGTGCTCCATGTGCGACCGCACACGCAGGTGTGGGAGTTAACAGGGCACAGCTCCTTCTGCTCCGCCACGGGCGTTCTCAGGAGAAACGGCTTGTGCGTCGTGACCGCGAGCGCGCGGAGGAAGCAAGCTGGGACACTGTTCGTTCGGCGCCCCTGCCCTGCTCAGTGCTGCGGCACGGCGTTTGCCCGCTGCGGCTTCAGATTTCTTGTTTACCCTCACCCAAGGATATTTTTCCACTGATTTTTAGAGTGAAAGGAAGGGGGGGGCATCGATGTGAGAGAGACACATCAGTTGGTTGCCTCCCACAGGACCCTGGCTGGGGCTGGGGATCGGACCTGCGACCCTTCAGTCCTCAGGCCGATGCTCTAACCACTGAGCACACAGGCCAGGGCCCCACTGTTGTTTTTACACCATCGGTGCAATGAAAATTGTCTTAACCTCCCAACCTTCTCGAAGCATCTCGCATGTTCGTGGGGGCCCACAGATCTTACTTTGAGAACTGCTGATGGATTTCACTGTTTCCCAGACTGCAGTCCCTTGCAATTCCATCTTTCCAGTTCTTGGCACATTCATGAACCACTTCTACAGTGATGTACTTAATCATTTCTTTTTTTTTTTTATCCTCACCCAAGGACATTTTTGCATTTATCTCCAGACATAGCAAGAGGAAGAGAGAAAGAAACATCAATGTGAGAGAGACACATCGACTGGCTGCCACCCACACAACCCCAACTGGGGCCAGGGACAAACTGCAACCGAGGTAGGTGCCCTTAGTGGGAACCGAACCCGGGTCTCTGTGGACCGCAGGCCGATGCTCTAACCACAGAGCCAAACTGGCCAGAGCCTTAATCATTTCTTTGAGTTGGCTTGCTTTTAAACTTACATTTATTTAGGAAATGTTGTATCACTGCCATACGTGGTCAAACCAGTGCCACAAATAAAAGGTAACCCAAAAAGCACGACATACCTAATGTTGAAAACACACATATTTACCTGTGCCCATATAAATCCGAATGGCAGGTGAAGAGCTGTTTGCACAACTGTGTTCTAGACACACCTCTTCATGCTCTAGGCAGGGAAATCAGGCCCCAGGAGGAGGGAGGTAATAAGCGAGAGCTCTGGCCTCTTGGCAGCCAGTGTTCTGGCTGGTCCTGGGAAGCCCAGCCCCGCCCTGCCAGCAGATGTCACTGCACGGTGCTGTGTGCGGGAGGCTGCACTTGACAGCGGCCATGAGGAAGGACATGTGCTTGGTGACCCCCTCAGAGCCGGCACCCTGGACTGATGAGCATGACAGCCTTCCCTTTCCTTGCTCGCCCTCTCCTGCTGCTCCTAAAAGCAATCAGGAAGTGACCTTCAGCGTCCCGCGGCTCCTGGGTCAGGGTGGCAGAGGCATTGCTTCCTGTGAGAAGGAGCAGGTGGGGCTGGAGGCTGGTGAGTTAATTCCAGTGTCTGCTTGGGGTTTGAAACCCTCGCCTGAGGATACTCAGCCTGCTTCTCAGGGTACCGGCCTTCAGACTGCAGACTTGGGAATATCAGATCGAGGGGTGGCAGAGCAAAGGTCCCAGTGTCTCTCCCCAGTGTCTGCTGAGGGGAGGTCCACAGAGTTGATGGGTGGGGTGGAAGAGGCCGGGGTCCTTTTTCTCTGTTTCCCTGAGCTGTTGCTCTTTCCCCCACACACTCCATCCCTAACAGAAAGGCAACGTGGAGATGATCAAGGCGCTCATCGTGTTCGGGGCAGAGGTGGAAACTCCAAATGACTGTGGGGAGACCCCCGCATGCATAGCCTCCAAGATCAGCAAACGTATGTGCTCGTCGCTCTTGGTCGAGGTGGGCAGGGTGGGGGGTGCCAGACTGGGGAGGAGGGAAGCCCCAGCTGTTGGGTACCAGCAGCCTGTTTGTACGCATCCCCAGTTGCTCCCTGCTCAGGGCTTCTCGGAGGACCTGGGAGGCTGAGATTGGAAGCTTTTTTAAAAAAAAATTTTTTTCTTTATTGACCCTAAAGAGAGAGGAAGGGAGAGGGAGAGAGAGATAGAAATACCCATGTGAGACAACATCGATTAGCCGCCTCCTGCACGCTCCCCACTGGGGATTTGGCCCACAACCTGGGCATGTGTCCTGACTGGGAATCGAACCAGCGACCTCTTGGTGCATGGGTCAACGCTCAACCACTGAGCCACATGGGTTGGGCTGAGACAGGAAGCTTTTTCCCCCAAGAACTGGGGCCCTGATCAGTAGATGGGGCCCACCAAGGGGCGTGCCAAGCCAGTGTCTTCTCCTGTGCAGCCCCATCCCACCTCAGGGTGCCAGGACTCGGGGGGTAGATAGGCAGCAGCTGCAGCCCTCTTCCTCGGTTGTGAAGAATTCACTGATGGAGCCGCTGTCCACAAGTGCATGCATGTCCCCGTGCTCACAGGCACGCCGCACGCATTGCGCTGCACAAGTGTACACACGTGTCCCCGTGCTCACAGGCACACCGCACGCATTGCGCTGCACAAGTGTACACGCATGTCCCCGTGCTCACAGGCACACCACACGCATTGCACTGCACGAGAGTGTGTGTGCCCCGTGCCCTCAGTTACACTGCATGCCCTGCATGCTCACTTGATGAGCCTTGGCTTCAGGACTGGAAACAGCAGATTCTCCTCACCAGAAGCCCGGACCCCCCTCTGGAGGGTTTCAGGGAGCTGTGGAGGTTGCTGTGGGTGTGTACATGCCAATGTGGGCAAGCATGTGTGTATGCATGTGTGCGCACTCCCTCTTGTGGCATCCTTCTCAGTCATCCCATCTGGTAGAGGGGCGTACACACCCTCTGGCTGGCCAGTCCCTTTCGAGTCCTGAAGGAGACTCCATTCAGTGGTTCTGAGAATGGCTGAGTGGGGAGGTGGAGTCAAAGGGAATGGAGTTCTCAAAGTACTCAGGTGGGGCCACACCGACCTGCTCCTTCCATGTCTACAGCGACCCCCAGCACCTTTCCTGGCCCCAGGAACCCGCTTTGGATGTCGCAGACTAGAGTCTGCGTGTCCTGTCAGTGTGGGGTCGGGCGTCCGGGCACCTTGCCCAACATACCCAGGCAGCCTGGTAGATGGGGGAGGGGTCATTCGTGGAAAGGAGAGGCCTCTCACATGCATGATGACATCTCTTCTGATCCTGTGTGATCTCCCCCTCCCCACACTGTCACCAGTTGTCACCAGGAGGACAGTCTTAACTCTGCTGAAAAACATAGGGGTCGGCCACCACTCCCCAGTCCTCCCTGGGGCCCCCGCGGAGCCGGGCTCCCCAGCAACACAGCATTCCTTCTCCCTGGAGAGGTCGCAGCCCCCGATGATCAGCTTAAACAACCTAGGTAGGCGCCCACCCTCTCCCGCACCCTGTTCCCTCCTCTCCAGCTGGTGCCCAGCCTCTCAGATCAGAGCTCCGGAAAGAAATGGGCCCCAGCGTGGAAGCCTGTGGAGTGAGCCGGAGGGAGGGTGGGCGGGGTTTGTTAGCCTCTGGAGGCTGCCAGCAGCCCATGGGGCCCAGAGGCATGGTCCCTGGCTGCTGTTCCGTGGTCCATTTTCCTGAGAGGTTGCCTGGACACAGGTCTTAGGTCTGGGCACCCAAGAGGTGGGTGCTGTCATGGCCTCTCTGTGGCCCCTGGGTGCTCAGGGCAGGCAGTGAGGTGTACTGTTGGGGCCCAGGGCCCCTGGCCCTCTGGCTTCAACAAGGAGTGTTTCTGCCATGCTGCTGAATCTCTGCCAGGCTGAGGCCTGTGTGCTCCCCCCTGGCCCTTTCTGTGACCTACAGGCTTTTTTTTGTTACTAGTCCTCACCCAAGAATATTTTTCCATTCATTTTTAGATAGAGTGGAAGGGAGGGAGGAAGAGAGAGAGAAACATCAATGTGAGAGACACACATCAATCCGCCCCCTGCACGACCCTGACTGGGGCCACGGATTGAACCTGCAACCCAGGCATGTACCCCTGACCGGGAATCAAACCTGGGACACTTCATTCTGAGGGCTAGTGCTCTAACCACTGCACACACTGGCCAGGACAGCCTGCAGACTTTATTTTTTTTTTATCCTCACCGGAGGATATTTTTCCATTTTTTGTACAGATAGAGTGGGAGGGAGAGAGAGGAAGGGAGAGAGAGTGAGAAACATTGACGTGAAGGGACACATTGAGTGGCTGCCACCCGCACGACCAACCAGGGCCGGGGACAAACTGCAACCGAAGTACGTGCCCTTAGCGGGAACCGAACCCGGGTCTCTCCGGACCGCAGGCCAACGCTCTAACCGCTGAGCCAAACTGGCCAGAGCAAAGATCACCATTCTTTTTTTTTTTTTGGTGGTACATGCCCCTAGCGGGAACTGAACCCAGACCTCTCTGGTCCACAGGCCTATACTCAACCGCTGAGCCAAACAGGCCAGAGCCAGCCTGTAGACTTTAGATAGCTAAAGGCAGCCAGCAGCTGCCCCCGGCATCCTTGGTCCCCGTGGGGATGGCCCCGGGGAGACTGGTCTCCTGTGAGCTAGCCGACCCAGGCAGTCAGAAACCCATCCTTGGCAAGCCGGCCTTTATTTTTTTCCTTTTCTGTTGAGGAAACAGACCAGCACCTCCAGCCAGGATAGCCCAGCCAAACATGGAGCTCAGGAGAGGCGGGGCCAGCAGCCAGTTAGTCCTCTGGCCCCGCCTCTTTCTTCCCACCCATCCCCATCCAGAACCTGCCCCCCTCTTTATCTCTCAATTTTACAGGCGGTCAGTCACCCCAGTCAGGCCGGATGGTGGGCCTGGACGGGGCATCTGATGGGTAATGCCTGGGCCTAGAGGGGCCACAGAGCCCGCCATGCCCAAGCCGTAGCCAGTCCCTCTGCTCCCTGTTCTCAGCGGCATGCTGATGCCTGCACCCTTCCTTAACCGCCCCTGCCTGGCGCTCTGTGCACTCTCTCCTGCCCAGTCTCCGCTGTCTGCCCACTCTCTGGCCACCTGCCCAGGTTGGGGGCACCCACCTTGCTGCCTGCCTTCCTGCTTTGTTGCTCATAGACCCATGCACAGCACGGGTGGTGTGGGCACCCAGCAGATCCAGATGGCCCGGGGGCCCGGCTGCTTGTCAGGAGGGCAGCTCATGTGCAGGGTGGGCACAGGGAAGGCAGGGATGGAGTGGACGGGTGCATCCAAGTCAGGACCTGCTGAGGAAGTTTCCAGAAGGATGAAGGGCATCAGAAGTATGGTTGGGTGTCTCCCTCCATTCATGGAGTTAAATCCCAGGGAACATCCTGACTCAGCCCTTTGGCTCAGTGACCTTGGATGAGCCATGTGACCTCTTGGAGAATTCACAGTTCTGATGACGGTGGCTGTCAGCAGCACACGAATATGTGAAGAAATGCACTGTGCATGGGAGCACAGGGCACGTCCGGGTGCTTGTGCCTCGTGGCCTTGGGAGGGAGACACTGAGGAGCATCCAGGCACTGGCCGGGCAGGGTGGGGCCCTTACCAGAGCAGTGGGCTCCCATCTGTTCCAGCCTCTCTCCCAGGGGCCTGCAGGCTCTGGCCCAGCTGTTTCCTGGAACAAAGAGCCCGGGGGCAGGTAGATGCCCCTGTTAGGGACGTGGGGTGAGGGCACGGCTTCAGATTTGCTCCAGGACCCTTGGGGGGCGGGGGGCGCTGGCACCTGCCCGGCCTCTGCCCACCCAGCCCTGTGCCCTGCAGAGCTGCAGGACCTGGTGCACATCTCCCGGGCCCGGAAGCCAGCCTTCATCCTGAGCTCTATGCGGGACGAGAAGCGGACGTAAGTGAGGAGGGAAGGAGGGCCGTGTCTGTGGCCTCTGCTGGGGTCCACAGAGGGCTCGGGGCTTTGTCTAGTCGCCCGCAGTCCTGGGAGGCGGTGTGAGTCCTCTAGTTCCCTGCGCCCCCTGCACCCTTCCTGGACACGGGGCAGAAGTGAGAGTCAGGATGCCCTGTGGGGACTTTTCCAGGCGGGTCTGTGAGCCACAGCTCAGCCTTGTTCTGCCCGTTGATCCCTCCATTGCCAGCCCCGCCTCCTCAGAAGGGTCCCTTGCCTGTTTGCCCCTCTGGTCAGGCTCTGTAGGCCTCCAGTGACAGCACGGCCTCCCTGCCCCCGCTGGGCTCGCTTCAGGGTGGCAGCTTGGCTGGGAAAGGACAGGGACCTGCAGGCAGGCCGCGCCGGCCTCCTCCACGGAGCAGCGGTGCATTAAAAGGCCTCCGTGCGCACTGTGGAGCAGAGCCAGTCCCTGGCCTCAGACGCACCGTCCAGCGGGGAGGGCAGCAAACTAGGACGCTCAAGGAGGCAGAGTGCTCCACGCTAAGGAAGTGCGTGGGCAGGGGCCGGGGCCGGGGCCGGCAGAGCTGGAGGTGCCGATGGCCTCGGAGCAGGCTCTCCGCAGTGACATGTAGACTGAGATGGAGCCATAAGGAGACCAGGAGGACAGTTCCAGTTTTGCGCACAGACCATGGAGGCCTCCCCCGGGGGCAAGGGGCTGGGCAGGCCAGTGCGGGGGACATGTCAGGGCCTGCGGGACAGCGTGCCACCGAGGAGGCAGCAGACCTGGTCCAGATCAAGCCAGCATCCCTTGACCACCCATGTGACTTTCGTGGTCACCTAACCCCTGAGCTTCATTTCCTTCATTCCTTCACAGTCACGCATGGGTCACAGAGTGCCCACCTCTAAGGGACGTGGGGCATTGTAGTGAGTTCCTGCTGGCAAAAGTCCCTCGCAGCTCCCAGCACATAGACCGTGCTTCCTCCCTGCCCCTTCTCCCCACTGCTCCCCGCTGGTAGAGGGCCCTGACCCTGCCCTGCCACCTGTTCCTGCCTGGCTGTAGGGTACTGGCACCTCCCTGAGCTTGTTTATTTACTTTTTATCCTCACCCCAGGACACTTTTTTTTTTTTTTGCATTTATATTCAGATAGAACGAATGGAAGGGAGAGAGAGAAATATCGATGTGAGAGACACATCGACTGGTTGCCATCCACACGACCCCAAACAGGGCGGGGGACAAACTGCAACCAAGGTATGTGCCCTTAGCGGGAACCAAACCCAGGACTCTCTGGTCCACAGGCCGACGCTCTGACTGCTGAGCCAGACTCCCCCAGCCTTGTTAATTCAAACAGACTTTATCGGGCACCTGGGAGTGGGAATCCAGACCTGATCAAAACCCAGTGACTGTCCTCACCGAGCTCCCCATCCAGCTGGGGGGCAGACCCAGGTGTCTGCTGAAGTGGCACCTGGCCGGTTAGGTGCCCTCAGCTGCCCCTTACCTTCCTTGGCTTCCTCTGCTGCACTTCTCACCTCCTGAAAGACACATTTATTCCTTCATGGCTTCGCTGCCCCCGCAAAGCCCCATAGCACGGAGCCCTGCTGGGCTTGGTCTCCCGCGCACGGGCGGCTGCCACAGCACCGACGCCCAGGGAGGTAAGGGGCGGGCTGTGACGAACCTCTTCTCCCACTGCTGTCCCCACCACAGCCACGACAACCTGCTGTGCCTGGACGGAGGGGGCGTGAAAGGCCTGGTCATCATCCAGCTCCTCATCGCCATCGAGAGGGCCTCCGGCGTCGCCACCAAGGACCTCTTCGACTGGGTGGCCGGGACCAGCACCGGGGGCATCCTTGCCCTGGCCATTCTGCACAGTGAGGGCAGATCCCTGGAGGGCAGGCGCAGGGCGGGTTGGGGTCAGGACCTGCAGACTTCTGGGTAGGCCTTGTCTTGACTCAAGTGACCTGTCTGGGCTGCGTGATGCTGCCTGTGGGGGCCTCCCAGAACAGCCCCAGCCCTGCCCGGGCCGGAATCCGTCTTGGCCTCGGCATCCCTGACCGATCCCTGCCTGGTCCAGTCAGTTCCATGCTGTCCGAGGGCCCTCCAGGTCTGAAGGCACCAGGGGAGGCCCTTCCGCACCTGAGGCCTCAGGGCCAGGCCTGTGCGAGGTGCTAGGGTCCAGGGGTGGGTCAGACGCACACTCCACTCAGGGAGCCCCTGTCTCATGGGAGCAGCAAGGCCTCTGGTGTTCACTGAGGGAGGAGGCCATGGCCCAGAAGTCCGGGGTCTCCGGGGACATGGGCACAGGAAGTGGCTGAGAGCCGCGTCCCTGGGACTCTGGGGAGAGAAGGATCGGCAGGTGGCAGGTGGCCAGGCTATGTCATCCCAGCAGTTCACTGCCCAGGATTTCACGTTGTTTTTATGATTGGCACCGCAGCCTTGTGAGGTTGCAACCAGGGAAACTGAGGACTGGGGGGGTCACCAGTGAGTCAGGCAGAGCCAGGCCGGTCTCCATCAGTACGCCTGCTCTCTCCCCTGGCTCCAGGTCCCAGTCGCTCTCTGCCTTCCCTCTGAGGAGAGCCTTCTCGGGGGCCTGCCTCAGCCCAGGGGACGTCAGGTGGGTGGTATGGGGAGAATCCCTAGCCTCTTCTCCAGAAAGGGGCACTTCCTTCTTCAGAGGACATGCGCCCCCCATCTAGGGTGTTCAGACTCCTGAGAGCTATGGGAGAAGGGATCTGGGAAGTCGCCCAGTTCAACTTGCGCACAGGTGGAAGCCCCCTCCCCAGCCCCCTGCATGCACAGCCCTGGCCGGTGAGGCGCACTGGGCACCTCAGTGTCCTGGGAGGCCAGCCTGCCTCTGCCCCTGGTGTCGGAGGCTCAGAGAACAGGGCTGGGCCTTCTGTTGTGTGACAAACAGGATAGATGCGGATTTACAAGCTTATGCACTTTCAGGGCCCTTCTCCAGGGAACATACAAAATCATGAACACAAATTCAAGTCCAGAGCCTTGGGCTGCTGAGGGCACCTGCCCGTGGGGAGGTGCAGAGGAGAGGCCCGGGAGCCCAGGCTTGGTCAGTCTACCTGCCAGTTCCAGCCACTGCTGGCCTCCGGGCTGGCCCATGCTCAGGCCCTGTCACCCCGCCTCTGACCCGCTTGTTCCTAGGCAAGTCCATGGCCTACATGCGTGGTGTGTACTTCCGCATGAAGGACGAGGTGTTCCGGGGCTCGCGGCCCTACGAGTCTGGGCCCCTGGAGGAGTTCCTGAAGCGGGAGTTTGGCGAGCACACCAAGATGACAGACGTCAAGAAGCCCAAGTAAGCCTGCTCACTGGGACTGTGGCCTCAGCTGTGCCTCTTCGGCTGTTCTGGGCAGAGGCTCCCTGTCCTGGTCTGATTAAAGCTGAGGGGGTGGGGGGAACAGCTTCTTCCCATGGAAACGAGGGGCTTCTGGAGAACACGGATGGAAAACACCCTCCAGCCCTGGCAGGTTTGGTTCAGCGGTTAGAGCATCGGCCTGTGGTCCTGAGAGACCCGGGTTCGGTTCCCGCTAAGGGCGCGTACCTCGGTTGCAGTTTGTCCCCGGCCCTGGTTGGTTGTGCGGGTGGCAGCCACTTGATGTGTTCCTTTCACATCGATGTTTCTCTCTCTCTCTCTGTTCCTCTCTCTCCCTCCCACTCTACCTGAACATAAAATGGAAAAATGTCCTCGGGTGAGGATAAAAAAAAAAAAAAAGAAAGAAAACACCCTCCACCCATATCTGGTGTTTTCCTGCACGTCCGAGGGTCAGAGGGGCTCGCTCCTCATTGGGCACACATCCAGGACCTCTTGGCTAGCAGGCTCTGCCCAGGCTGTGTGAGCACGCGTGCGCTGGGGAAGAGGGGAATGGATGCACCCACTAGGTGCAAAGGCTTACGCTGTGGTGGGGAGATCAGTGACCTGAAAAAACAGCAGCCACACAAGGCAGTGTGTGCTTAGTTGAAGAGGTTCCAGAAGAGCCGACAGCACTTCTGCTTTGCAGTACTCCCCACCCCGAACTACTTCATTGTCTGTGTAATGCCTGTCTTGCCAGCCAGACAGTGAGCTCACGGAAGTAGGAACATGACTGCCCTGATTTTTCTGTAGCCCCAGCACCTAGCACAGTGCCTGCCTCAGACCAGACCATTGAAAAGTGTTCAACTGACTATCCATGGAAGCAAAAGGGAGAGAGGACGGGGGGTGAGGTGGTCAGGGAGGGCTTCCTGGAGGAAGCGAAGTATGAGTGAGGCCTTGAGGGTTTGGGAGGATTTCTTTTTATAATAAAGCTTTTCTTTTCTTTCTTGTTTTTTTTTTTTATCTTCACCCGAGGACATTTTTTTTGCATTTATCTTCAGATAGAGCAGGAAGGAGAGAGGAAGGGAGAGAGAGGGAAACATCGATGTGAGAGAGACACACCAAGTGGTTGCCACCCACACAACCCCAATGGGGCTGGGGACAAACTGCAACCGAGGCACGTGCCCTTAGCGGGAACTGAACCCGGGTCTCTGGTCCACAGGCCAACGCTCTAACCGCTGAGCCAAACTGGGCAGGGTTTCTTTTTTTTTTTTTTTTTTTTATTGAAGAGTAATGCATAGTCTTTTGAGGAGATTTGGAAAATACAGAGAAAAACAGGAGGAAAGTACCATCCATGATTTCTTAACGAAAGTACAGTGTTTTTGTTTTTGTTTGTTTCTTTCTTTTTGTTAATCCTCATCCAAGAATATGTTTCCATCAATTTTTAGATAGAGTGGGGGGGAGAGAGAGAGAGAGAGAAAGAAACATTGAGGTGAGAGAGACATACATGACCCCAACCTGGGTCGGGGATTGAACGCAACCAAGGTACACGTGCTCTTGATCAGGAATCGAACCCAAGACTCTTCGGTCTGAGGGATGATGCTCTAACCACTGAGACAACTGGCCAGGGCTAAAGTACAATGTTTTAAAAACATTTTTGTATATTTTATCCTTGACCTTTTTTCTTGAATTAGAGCTTACACTTAGAAAGGTACATAAACCAGTTCTGTGCATAAATATCAAACAAACTCTCACATGACCAGCCGCCAGGTGCAAAAGCCCCCTGAATACGTGCCCCACCCCGTCACAGCTCCTGCCCTCCCACTGGGGTAGCCGCTCTCCTGGCTGGTGTGCAGCGGGACTCCTGGCTTCTCTGTGTGGTTTCACCTGTGAGTGTAGCCTTGCCCAGCACGGTTAGGGTCTTGCCTGTCTCGCTTGGGCAGAATCACTTTGTGTGTTATCTCCTTCCCATCACTGCTCCGCTTGTCTGCTGGGCCCAGGCCGGGTGAGGCTATACTTCATTCATTCTTGCTCAAGAGACGATGCCCTACAGTTATTTCTCCGAATACCTTCCATGGACTCTTGGGTTGCTCCCAGATTGGAGCTCTTGCGAAGAGTGCTGCAGTGAACACTGGAGGACGTGTTTTCTGACCCACGCGTGTACAGGGCTCCCTGGAGCACGTGCTCAGAGGATGCCCACTTCTCAGGTTCTGCCCAAAGTGCTGATTTCCATTTTCACTCCATTCGCCGTGTCTGCGTTCCTATTGCTTATTGTCAGACGTCTCTTTTTTTCTTTATTGATTTTAGAGAGAGAGGAAGGGAGGAGAGAGAGACAGAAACATCCATGAGAGAGAACATTGATTGGCTGCTTCCTGCATGCCCCCCACTGGGGATTGGGCCCACAAGCTGGGCATGTGTTCTGATTGGGAGTTGAACTGGCAACTTCTTGGTGCATGGGTCGAAGCTCAACCACTGAGCCACACTGGCTGGGCATCAGATGTCTTTATCTTCACAAATCTGGGGATATGAGTGGTGTCTCCATGTGTTTTGAATTTTCATTTCCCTGATGACTAGGGAGGTTGAAACAACTTTTCATTGATTTAAAGGCCATTTGGTTTCCTCTTTCATGAAGTTCCTTGTTCAAGAGTTTTGTCTATTTTAGGAAAAATTGGATTGTGTGAATTTGGGGTGATGAGGCTTCTTAATGATCATTTTTTTTATTTTTTGAAAATTAGTCCTTTAAGGTATATATGGATTTGAAATCTTTTCTCCCACTTCATGGCTTATCTTTTCACTTTCTCTTTTTTCCTTTAGTCCTCACCCAAGGATATTTTTCTGTTGATTTCTAGATAGAGTGAGAGGAGTAGAGGGAGAGAGATCAATTGGTTGCCCCTCAAACAACCCAGACCCAGGCCAGGGATTGAACCTGCAACCAAGTTATGTGCCCTTGACCAGGAATCAAACCCAAGACTCTTTGGTCTTCAGGCTGACTCTAACCACTGAGCAAAACTGGCCAGGGCTCTTTTCACTGTCTTTAAGGTGTTTTGTTGGTGAACAGGTGTTTCTAATGTCGTAGAATTGATAAGTGTGTTCCTTTGTATGGTTTGTGCTTTTCACGTCTCATTTAAGAACCCTTCCTTAGTCTGGCTGGTGTGGCTCAGTGGTTGAGCATTGACTCATGCACCAAGAGGTCCTGGTTCCATTCCTGATCAGGGCCCTTGCCCAGGTTGTGGGCCTGATCCCCAGTGCGGGGCGTGCAGGAGGTGGCCAATCGATGTTCTCTCTCATCCACGTTTCTCTCTCTCTCTCCCTTCCTCTCTCTCTAAAATCAATAAAAGGAAAAAAAAAAAGTTAAGAACCCTTCCTTAGCCTTAGGGAGGAAGCCAATCTCCTGTGTCAGGTCAGAAAGCTCTGGGTCTGCCTCTCCTGTTGGGTCTGCTATGAGCCTGGAGTTGATCTGTGTATTGGGGAGCTCCAGCCTCGTGTTCTTCTGTGAGTACTCGGTCTCCCCAGCCTCATCTGGCCAGAAGTCTGTCTTCTTGGTGGAGGCTCAGGGGTCCCTGCCTCGGTCTCTTTCTGGCCATGTCCTGCTCCGTTGGCTGGATGACTGTCCCTGTGCACAGACTGTGGAACCCTGACTCTGAAGCGTTACACCAAGTCCCGGGGTCCAGGCAGCAGGGCCTCCCGCCCTGACCTTCGCCTTCCAGAGTGTCAGCTGTTCTGGGGGCACTGTAGAGAAGTGGGAAGAGCATGCACCCTGAAGTGTCCTCTTCTAGAAGAAGGGAATAACATACTACCTGTCTCTTGGGGTTTTCACGAGGAGTGAAAAAGTTAATATTTATAAAACTTTTGGCACATGGAAGTCTATATGAAAGTTAGTTGTTGCTACTTGTGTGTCCATATAAATGGTATCATCAGGTTGCCACTTTCTACACAAAATCAAACTTTGGTGGGATTTTGATTGAGTTTTGTTTCAGGGAGACCCAACAGTGAATCTATGAGCTTCTTTGGGAGAGAATTGACATTGAAAATGCTGAGTCTTGCCCTGGGGGTTTGGCTCAGCCATTAGTGTGGCGGCCTGTGGACCGGAGGGTTGGGGTTTGATCCTGGCCCTGGTCTGGGTCGTGTGGAGGGCAGCCAGTCGATGTGTCTCTCACAGTGATGTTTCTTTCTCTCTTTCCCTCCCTCCCTTCCTTCTACTCTATCTCAGAATCAATGAAAAAATATAAAAAGAAAAAGAAGACACCGAGTCTTGCCCTGGCCGGTTTGGCTCAGCTGTTAGAGCGTCGGCCTGAGGACCGAAGAATCACGGGTTTGGTTCTGGTCAGGGGCTTGTATCTCATTCATAGGTTCAGTCCCCAGTCCCAGTCAGGGTCGTGAGGGAGGCAACAATCGATGTTTCTCTCTCTCCCTCCTTCCCTCCCTTCCACTCCACCTAAAAAAATCAATGGAGAAATATCCTTGGGTGAGAATTAATAAACCAAAAAAAAAAAAGGAAACTCTGAGTCTTCCAGTTAGAGGACGTAGTGAATCATTCCATTTGTGCCCAGTTTCTCAGTACAGCTTTATCATTTTATTTAGAGATCTCACATGTCTGTTCTTTTTATTCTTAGGTACTGCATATGTTCTGTGCTATTGTAAACCATACATTTTAAAGCATTTTATTTTCCAACTGTAGCTTCTATTTAGAAATACCATTTATTTTAAAATTTTTAATTGTGGTAAAATATACACAACATAAAACGTACCGTATTAAACTTTTTTTTTTATCCTCACCAGAGGACATTTTTGCATTTATCTTCAGATAAAGCGGGAGGGAGAAAGGGAGGAAGAGAGACAGAGAAACACTGATGTGAGAGAGTCACATCGACTGGTTGCCACCCACATGACCCCAACCAGGGCCAGGGACAAACTGCAACCGAGGCACGTGCCCTTAGTGGGAACCGAACCCGGGACTCTCTGGTCCGTGGGCCGACACTCTAACGGCTGAACCAAACTGACCAGGA